ACTGAGCCATGCTCTTTTCCTTCCTTCCTTCCTTCCTTCCTTCCTTCCTTCCTTCCTTCCTTCCTTCCTTCCTTCCTTCCTTCCTCCCTTCCTCCCTCTCTTCCTTCCTTCCTTCCTTCCTTTCTTTCCTTCCCTCCCTCCCTTCTTCCTTCCTTCCTTGCTTTCTTCCTTCTTCCTTCTTCCTTCCTTCCTTCTTCCTTCCTTCCTTCCTTCTTTCCTCCCTTTCTCTCTCTCTCTCTCTCTCTCTCTTTTTGCCAGTCCTGGGGGCTTGAACTCAGGGCCTGGGCGCTGTCCCTGAGCTTCTTTTGCTCAAGGCTAGTGCTCTACCCCTCGAGCCACAGCACCACTTCCGGTTTACTGGAGATAAGAGTCTCATGGGTAATTTTCTGCCCAGGTTGGCTTTCAAACCCTGATCCTCAGATCTCAGCCTCCTGAGTAGCTAGGATGACAGGCGTGAACCACCAGCACCCGGCTTATCCACACTTTTTTTTTTTTTTTTTTGGGTCCAGTCACGGGGCCTGAATTCTGGGCCTGGGCGCTGTCCCTCAGCTCTTTAGCTCAAGGCTAGTGCTCTACCACTTGAGCCACAGTGCCACTTCCGGCTTTTTCTGCTTATGTGGTGCTGAGGAATTGAACTCAGGGCCTCAGGCATGCAAGGCAAGCGCTCTACCACTGAGCCACCTTCCCAGCCCTATCCACACTTTTAAAGAAGGTCTGGGTTCATGTGTATCTCTCTCTTGGTCCCTTGAGGACCATAGCTGGTTGTCCCCACACAGAATGGTAAGGGGTGTGCAGGGTATGAGGTTGGTATTAAATCACTGCTTGCTGAAGGTCATTGGCCAGCAAATGTGTTGGAAGTGAGATCTTTGAAAACGATGACTTCCTCTGAGATGCCACTCATTGGAACCTTGCTTAAGAAATGAGATGTGAAGCCGGGCACCGCCTGTCATCCTAGCTACTCAGGAGGATGAGATCTGAGGATTGTGGCTCGAAGCCAGCCCAGGCAGGAAAATCCATGAGACTCTTATCTCCAAAAACATCAGAAAACCGGAAGTGGCGCTGTGGCTCAAGTGGTAGAGCGCTCGCCTTGAGCTGAAGAGCTGAGGGACAGCGCCCAGGCCCAGAGTTCAAGCCCCAGGACCAACAGAAAAAAGAAAAGAGTTAGCAATCACTATCTTCTGTGGCAGGAAGTCTGTGGTGTCACGGCCAAATCTATCCCACAGGGAGCAAAATGGTGTTTTCAAGCATCCTTGAGTCATTGCCATCACTTCTACCAGTTCCTTTCTCCAACCACACACACACACACACACACACACACACACACACACACACACACACACACACACACACACACACACACACACACACACACACACACACACACACACACCACACTGGTCCATGCAGCTATCACAATATTTCCCTCCCCACCCAGCATACACAAGAGTACTTTTTTGGTTTTTCCCCCAGTCTCGAGTTCTTCTAGTGTTGCATAATGTGACAGGGTTATTAAATCCATTTCTCTTCCTCTCTTTATAAATAACCCACAGCATCAAAGCCTAGAAAGCCTTCAGATTGAAAGAGATGACAGTCTAGAAGGCGTTTTGGATTCATTTACACACACACACACACACCAACTCTCACATAAACTCACACACTTGTTTATTAGAGTATGTGTGGGCTGGGTTGTGTACATGAGAGTGTTATTATGATGCCAGTGGTGTTATATGGCTCTATTCATGGATACAGTGCTGGTTGGGGGGGGGGCTAAAACGTGATGAGCATGTTGGAGTATGTTTCAGTCCTTCCCTCCGTGAGGAAGAAATGCGTTCCACAGCCAGGGGTGGCAAAAGAATTGGGGTGTCTGTGTGTTACTGCTCAAAATCTTATAAATACTCATCAGAGCATTGCCTCTCTGGCCCCTTAGGTAGGAATACATGGGTATGATCATCTCAGAGAAGCACCTGGGCTTTGGGACTACATATTCATTTGGTTTTCTTGCTCACAGTTGGGTGCTCGACCATTTGAGCCATGCCTGGATTTTTGCTGGTTGGAGATGGGAGTCTCTATAGCCTTTTCTGCCCAGGCTAACTTTGAACTGTGGTCCTTTGGGTCTCTATGCTGAGTTGCTAGGATTACAGATGTGATTCACCAGCACCTAGCTCAAACAACTTCTTCTTAAACAACTTCTTCCTCTTCCTCCTCCTCCTCCTCCTCCTCCTCCTCTTCTCCTTCTTCTCCTTCTCCTTCTCCTTCTCATCAATTATTTTGTGGTACTGGAGTTTGGACTCAGGGCTTTGTTAAGCTGGTGCTCTACTACTTGAACTATGATTCCAGTCCTCACTTAAGTCATTTTTAAAATTAAAAAAAAAAAATAAAAGTAAGCCAGGTGCCAGTGGCTCACGCCTGTCATCCTAGCTACTCAGGAGGCTGAGATCTGAGGATCGAGGTTCAAAGCCAGCCTAGACAGGAAAGTCCATGAGACTCTTATCTCCAATAAACCACCAGAAAACCAGAAGTGGCGCTGTGGCTCAAGTGGTAGGGAGCTCGCCTTGGGCTGAAGAGCTGAGGGACAGCGCCTAGGCCATGAGTTCAAGTCCCAGGACCGACACCTCTCTCTCTCTCTCTCTCTCTCTCTCTCTCTCTCTCACACACACACACACACACACAGGCTGACACCAATCCAAGGAGGAGGGGTAGTGAGGAGACATCCAATCTTCTTCCTCCTTCAATACACAATCATAAACTGTAATCTTCCTGCTAGCACTCAACCTGCATGCTCAAGAAGAAAACACCAAGGATTAAGATGTTCAGGCATGAGAGGAAAAGTCTCAAAATGTGGAAAACAGCTACCCAGGATGGGGAACCTGAATCAAGATAAAGTATTTCATTAGCCTATACCTTGACCCCAAGAAAGCCTAGGACTTCCAGAAGGGAAGAATGTTCTTGTCATTTTTGTCAGCTGAATGAGTGAAAACTGATGTGAACACCAAAGCAATAAAATAAAATAAAATGGGAAGGGAGTTTATCAGCATGGTCTCTCTCTCTCTCTCTCTAATGCTGAATTGAGAGATTAGAACTTGATAGAGATTCCCCAGGTTGATGCCAGTGGTCAGTCAGAGATTTGGTAGGAACAGAAGAGCAGATCAAGACTCACTTGGGTTGGAGGCCTGGAGCCAGTGGCTCACGCCTGTCATCCTAGATACTCAGGAGGCTGAGATCTGAGGATCATGGTTCAAAGCCAGCCAAGGCCAGGAAAATCCATGAGACTCTGATCTCCAATGAACCACCAGAAAACCAGAAGTGGCACCGTGGCTCAAGGAGTAGAGCACTCGCCTTGAGCTGAAGAGCTGAGGGACAGCGCCCAGGCCCAGAGTTCAGACCCTATGACCGGCAAAAAATTTTATAAAAAGTGTTTGGGAGAATACCTGATACTGTATTAATACTTGATATGTTTAACTAGCAAATCACTGTTAATATTATTAGCAAATGGTATTAATATTAGTAAAGTAGAACCTGATATTACATAAATACTCTCCACATATTTAATTAATAAATCACTATCAATATTACTGGCAAATAATGATATGCATAGAATTGTACTTGGTACTGTAGAAATACTCTCGACATATTTAATTGATAAATCACTACTAATGTCCTCAGCAAATAATCAGTGATATTATTTGGACTATATAATTATTAATAGATCGACATTCTCATTATTTTCAAAAGATACAACAGATTAACTGGGACAAAGGAAAGATGGTTAAGGAGCCAGTAACCAATTATGTTATGAGTTACACAGAAAAGACTTAAAAAAAAAATCTCAGCCAGGCGCCAGTGGTGCATGTCTATAATCCTAGCTACTCAGGAGGCTGAGATCTGAGGATCACAGTTCTTAGCCAGCCCAGGCAAGAAAGGCCGGGGTGGGGTGGAAGGGGGAAAGGCCAGAAAGGCCAAGAAAAAGCCAGAAGTAGTGCTGTGGCTCAAGTGGCAAAGCACTAGCCTTGAGTCAAAAGAAGCTCAGGAACTCAGGGACAGCGCCCAGGCCCCAAGTTCAAGCCCCAGGACCAGCCAAAAATTTGAAGGTGATTACATCTATTCAGAGGCAGAGTGGTAGATGCTCTGATAGTTCTTTTTGCCTGGTCCTGAGGCTTGAACTCAGGGTCTGGGTACTGTCCCTGCATGTCTTTGTGCTCAAGGCTCCACAGCACCACTTCCAGCTTTTCCTGAGTAGTTTATTGGAGATAAGAGTCTCCTGGATTTTCCCGCCCTGGCTGGCTTTGAACCACAATCCTCAGTTCTCAGCCTCCTGAGTAGCTGGGATGACAGGCCTGAGCCACCAGTGTGCCTAGATTTGATTGGTTCCATCTTTTTCATAACCATCTTGGGGTCCGGTCAGGCCCCACAACCAACTAAAACAAACAAACAAACAAACAAAAGATGAAGTGAGCAGTTTCACATGAAGCACTCAAAATAAACCTCCTCCAGTACCCTCCAGCCAATATTGTTTTCAACGGAAATTCTATGAATCCTTAATGGAAGCCGAGCTGGAATCCAGTCTTTTCTATGAGACTGGATGTTTTTATTTTTACCATATTTATTTTTTATTTATTTTATATCATCCTTGGGACATCATCTTTCTTAACCCCCAGTCAGCCTGCTGTTCTCATTGACATAATAACTCTTGCCCAGTCTGCACAGAGAGTAGTACATGATGAGAAATGTCTTGGTCACTAGGCGAAAACGCTCTGTGAGTTTTTAAGCTGGTGAACGAAACGGGGCAGGGTGAAAAATATCCACAGTATCCCAAAGTCATGACAGAAAGAGACATCACCCATGGTTGGTCAATTGCATTGGTTTCTGGAATGCCCGATCTTACCCCAAGAAACCACCTCAAGGTAGAAAATAACACACACACACACACACACACACAATGTTGGGACAATCACCCAACCATGTGCATGCCTTCGTCTGTCTCTTTGGACTTGCTTACCTACCTCAAACCACTGTCCGTGGGACTGCATCTTGAGGATCACGCAGGGGTCCGGTTTGGAAAGAGCATCCCTGTCGGAAATGCCTTTGCACGCCACACGCAGCTCAACTTTGGTCAGGCAGGGACTGTTAAATATTCCCAGTGTGTTGGCAGCTGACTCATAGATGTTGCTCATCTTCTTCATTCTGTTTTAGGCCAGGAAGAAAGGAAGGAAGGAAGGAAGGAAGGAAGAAGAAGAAGAAGAAGAAGAAGAAGAAGAAGAAGAAGAAGAAGAAGAAGAAGAAGAAGAAGAAGAAGAAGAAGAAGAAGAAGAAGAAGAAGAAGAAGAAGAAGAAGAAGAAGAAGAAAGGAGGAGGAGGAGGAGGAGGAGGAGGAGGAGGAGAGAGAGAGAGAGAGAGAGAGAGAGAGAGAGGGATGCCAATCACTGCCATATTTAATCAAAGAAGAAAGCTGCTCAATTGCCATTTAGGAAAATGGCTTCACACCCAGTTTCAAATATTGAAGTTATTTATTATCTGAGTGAAATAGTTCCAGCGAAAGACACACACACACACAAGACATAAACAAATCAAACAAAAAAAAAAAAGAGGAGGAAAAAAAAGATAGCGGGTACATTTAGCTAAGAACACTATTTTCCTGTGTGAGCTGCATACTAAAAACATTTTTTTGTCTGTGATCTAAAATTAATGAGTGCCATAGACAGCAACTGTCATCAGTGCTATGGTGAGTACGGGGTTGCTGAGAATTTTTACCCATTTGTTGGCTAATCAACTTAATTGGATCTCTGAAAATACGCTGAAAAATCCAATTCTCCTCCTAAGTGATGGAACATGATGATGAACCATCAGGTAGGATCGTGTGTGTGTGTGTGTGTGTGTGTGTGTGTGTGTGTGTGATCCTACCTGAAAAAAAAAAAGTCCAATTTCTCACCCTTAAACCCTGGTCTATCTTCCCATGATGCTTTCAGCCAAGCCAGTTCCAAGCATCTGATTTTCTGCCCCACATTATCAAGAAAACAAACTGTAACACATGCTAGAGAGGATGCAGCCAAAAGGAAACCCCAATACACTGTTGGTGGAAATGTAAATTTGTTCAACCACTCTGGAAAGCCGTGTGGAGGTTCCTCAAAAAAAAAAAAAATTAAACATAGAATTCTGCAATTCTGTTCCTGGGAATTTACCTAAAAGATTAGAAACCAGGATACAGTAAAGCCACCAGCACAACCATGTTTCTTGCAGCACTATTCACCATAGCCAAGGTGTGGGAGCAGCTCAGATGCCCCTCAGTGGGTGAATGGATCAAGAAAATGTGGTGTTCTATACACAGTGAAATTTTACTCACTTGTTAGAAAGAATGATCTTGCACTATTTGTAAAAATAAAATAAAATAAATGGAAAGACCTGGAGAAAAATCATGTGAAGTGAAGTAATTCAGGCCCAGAGTGACAAAGTATTTGTGTTCTTTTTTTAAATGTGGAGACTAGCTTTAGCTTATAAACATATAAGAAGTAAACACATTGGTTGGTTGGTAGGCAAGGGTAGACAAAATATCTTAATTGAAAGAGAACTCAAATAGTTTCATTCCTTAGAAAGTACAAGTCCAACAAAATAAAACACCAGGAAGTGGGTGTCAGAAAGGGGTGTGGCAGGGTTAAGGGGAAAGAGGTAGATGGAAGAGGAGGAGGAGGAGGAGGAGGAGGAGGAGGATACAGACAATGTACATCCTGCAAAATTAGGAAGAGTGAGGGGAGAGGGAGGGGCTGAGAATGCTGAAAAGGATGACACCGATCAAGAGATAATTGGGTTTGTAAACCACTTTGTTAAACAGCAACCCCTTTGGACAACTACTTAAAGATAATTTAGCAAGTGAAAATTTAAAAAGAGCCCAAGTCTATTCGTACCTCTCTTCCCCCTCCTCTTTTCTCTTTCCCAGACTTCTGTTTTCCCTTCCCCCTTCCTCTCTCCTTTCTCTACCCTCCTCTCTCTTGCTCCCTCTTTTCTTCCCCCTTTCCCTCTCTCCCCCCCTGCCCCCGCTTCTGTCTCTGTGTCTCACACACACACACACACACACACACACACACACACACTCATCGGTAATGTGTTCCTAGGACAGTCATGCTCATTCTTTAATATCACCTGAGTTGCTATATTACTGCAATGGCTGAACTTCAGGAGTTGAAACAGAGGTGACAGAAATCACAGGACCCCCAAACCCTAACATCTTTTCCATGTAAGCCAGAAAAAAAATATATTTGACACCCTTCACTCTCTAAAATTTGTGGTGAGCCAGGGGCCGGTGGCTCCCGCCTGTCATCCTAACTACTCAGGAAGCTGAGATCTGAGCATGGCACTTCAAAGCCAGCCCAGGCAGGAAAATCCGTGAGACTCTGATCTCCAATAAACCACTCGAAAACCAGAAGTGGTGCTGTGGCTCAAGGGGTAGAGCACTCGCCTTGAGCTGAAGAGCTGAGGAACAGTGCTCAGGCCCAGAGTTCAAACCCCATGACTGACAAAATAAAATAAAATTTGTGATGGAAGATGAGCTCTCCATCTTCTACCAGACTGCACGTGAACAGGGGCTCTGGGATATTTGTGGTGGTGGTGGTGGTTTTCACATATTAGAAAACTGAAGTCAGAGAGGAATTGGCAGGATGCCCACGTCACCTAACTATTCTATTGACAGAACAGGGCACGGAATTCCGGCTTTCTACTTCCCAGTGCCAGGCTATTTTTATGACCTCCCGCTGGAGAACAGGAACAAACCCACTGCGAAGCCACGGCTACAACACATATCCTTCAATTATTTCAACCTCCACACCGAGTGCAAGACTTCCCCTCTTTTTTTTTTTTTTTTGCCAGACCTGGGGCTTGAACTCAGGGCCTGGACACATTGTCCCTGAGCTTTTTTCACTCCAGGCTAGTGCTCTACCACTTGAGCCACAGCGCCACTTCTGGCTTTTTCTATGTCTGTGGTGCTGAGGAATTGAACCCAGGACCTCATGCATGCAAGGCAAGCACTCTACCACTGAGCCACCTTCCCGGCCCGAATTTTATTCATCTCAACAGAGACAATTCTATTTCCCTCCACCCTCACCCTTGGAAGGGAAACTATACTAGAGCACTTTAGCTGGAGAAAAGATCAGGAATGAATCACCGTTGACTATAAGATGACTACCTGCTGGTATTCAGATCCTGCATACCCCCCTCTCCCTGAGTACAGGTGGGCTCTGTGAATTGCTTTACACACACACACAATTTTAACCAAAATATGGCTTGAGTAATGGAACAGCTATCTGGCATGAAGGATTCCATGAAGTACTCTAAGAAATGTGTATGTGGGGTGTGTGTGTGTGCGCGCACGTGCATGTGTGCACATATATTCCTTTGGGTTAGGGACAATTATGTACACACTATTGCGTCCTGAGTAGTGATTATCTCGATAATATTTATGGGCCAGTGACAAAAAAAAAAAAAAATCATCCTAAATCTAGCCGGGTGCCGGTGGCTCACGCCTGTCATCCTAGCTACTCAGGAGGCTGAGATCTGAGGACTGCCATTCAAAGCCAGCCCAGGGCAGGAAATTCCAATAAACCACTCAGAAAACTAGAAGTGACGCTGTGCTCAAGTGGTAGAGCGCTTGCTTTGAGCTGAAGAGCTGAGGGACAGCGCCCAGGTCCAGAGTTCAAGCCCCGCAACCGACCAAAAAAAAAAAAAAAATCATCCTAAATCCTTCTGTGGGAAGATTGAGTACAAGAAAGAAATGGAGGATACTTAAGATAAGATCCCCAACATCTCACTTATATACGTGGTCTTTGGCTCAGTTTCTCTGTCCACACACAGGAATGAAAGCTCCGGACACACACACACTGGAGTTTATGAGTCCCTCAGCTTGCCCAAAGAGACAACCTTGACCCTGGCTTAAGAAGTGTTACTAGACCAGGGAAGTTCAATGGTTTGAACTTAACTCATTGCCAACAAGGTGATCACAAAATATGGCTCTGTGAATGAATGAATGAATGAATGAGTGATCAGCTGCCACCACAGTCCCAGATAAATGGAGTAAACAATTCATTTCACACTCGGTTAGAGCACAGGATTAATATAGCCAGATTATCAATACTTTCCCCCCCCCAATGGCCTATTTAAATCCTCTTTGTTGCTTTTTCTTTTCTTTTTTCTTTTTTGGTACAATACCCTTCTTTTTACTGAGACTAGCGTCTGCTGAGAAATAATTATTTTTTATGGAAGCTGGCTTTAGGCCAATTTTGGAAGCAAATTATAATTGTCCTTTCAAACTCAGATAATTTAGGTTATTTCTTAAAAAAAAAAATCAAATCACCACTTCAGCAAATCCACATTCTCTTACAGGACAAACTGATCCTGAAACTTAATTAGTTTTTGAATGAGTTGCAAACAACACCAGGACAATAGGGGGAAAGGCAATCAGCTAGAGTTCACGGGGCGGGGCGCCCACTGAGCAGAGCCTGTCTCGGAGACTGTTGAAAATAAGTGTGTGATCACCATTCTGCTTGCCTTGGTATGATTCAACCCTTTTAAGTTATTATTATTGTTGTTGTTGTTGTTATTATCATAAGGAGCCTTGATTCAGCATGCCACTTTATAAATGCACCTTGACCCCATTCTTCCTCCAATTTCCCCCATCTCACCCCACCACACTCACCCCCTCACTGAACTATTTCCATCTTCACAAATATACACTATGACTTCATTCACCTCCCCTTTAAAAAAAAAAATTCAGCTGGGCGCCAGTGGCTCACGCCTGTCATCCTAGCTTCTCAGGAGGCTGAGATCTGAGGATCGTGGTTCAAAGCCAGCCTGGGCAAGGAAAGTCCATGAGACTCTGATCTCCAATAAACTACTCAGAAAACCAGAAGTGGCGCTGTGGCTCAAGTGGTAGAGTGCTCACCTTGAGCTGAAGAGCTGAGGGACAGCGCCCAGGCCCAGAGTTCAAGCCCTAGGACCGACCAAAAAACAAAAAAGATCAGGGACAGCACCCAGGCCCTCAGTTCAAAACCCAGTACTGGTACCAAAAAAAAAAAAAAAAATGCATTGTACTCATAAACTGACATGTTGAACTGAAACCCCTTTGTACAACCACTTAAAGATAATAATAAAAACATCAACTCATTATTTTAAAAAATTAATAATAAATCCATGTAGAGTT